GCTTGGGGGTACAGCTGGGAGCACAGGACCCCCGAACCGGGTGTGCACAGACCGATGGTACAGCGGGGTGCAGGACCCCCCAAACCGGGCGTGCAAAGCCCAGGGGAACATGAGGGGCACAGAATCTCTACAAAGCAGGGAGGCACAGCTGAGGGGGTGCAGCTGGGGCACAGGACCCCCAAACCGTGTGTACACGGTACATCTGAGCAGTGCCCAGCACCGATCCAAGCAATCCAGGGGCACTAGTGCCACCCCCATTCCAACACCCAGCCCCAGTCTGGGGTACAGGGGTGTCTCTGATGGGACATCTGCACCCCACGGCTCAGCCTGGGCACAGCCCCATCCTCACTGCCCGGCCCCCTCCTGGGTCTCATTAGCTGATGAGCTCCCGGGTAATGAGTTCTGCACCCGCCACAGCCGCTTGCCACCTCCCTGTTTGGACAAGTGCTGGAGCGCGGCTGGGCTGGGGCAGCACCAGCCATGGGGTCAGAGCCCCCACAGTGTTGGGAAAATCTTTAATTGTAACAAATAGCGTTTAAGTCTGGTGAACTCTTTTAGCTCCAGCCAACAGTGTTCAGTCCTGTATTAATGTGTGCAAGTGGTTATCTTAGCTTTAAAGATTGTGGGCCTGAGCAACGCTGATAAGAAGATGTATCTTGGCCAGACCACAGAGCTGGGATGTATTCAAAGAGAATTTTTGAAGGCCTACAACCAAAACCTGATAATTTGAGGAATGGGACATTCCCCAAACAACCACCAGAGATCCTCAAAAAGACCCCTACTCTTCCGTAAATAATCTCTGAAAAGTGTTATAAATATTCAAAAGAATTTGCATGGATGTTTAGCATACATGTGTGAGTTTTGGGAAATGTAATAAATAAGTTACAAAGTTTTAAGCTAGTCTGTCAGCCCACTGCAGTGTGTGCAGTAGGAGGAGTTATCCCCTGCACACCCCTGAAATAAAATAATGCTGCTTTCTAATACTGAACTTACAGTGTTAGAAGGTTTTATTCCCGACTTTCGGTGACAGCAGGATACCCCACAGCCCCTCAACTGGGTATGTCCCCCATCCCTTCAGCCCCTGTAACAATGGAGCAGGGTGCAGGGCCATGGGGCAACACGGCCAGGGCACCACAACAGAGTTCAGTCGCTGCCTAGCTCAGGCTGTGCCCCCAGGAGCCCCCAGCCCTTCTGCTGAGGGGTCCCTGGCTCTGCTGGGACCCTCCCAGCACATGTCCCTGCCCGCCTGGGACCCACCATCCGTGCTCCAGCACATCCCAGGTCAGACGCCCGTGTGGTTTACGGTGGTCATGCTTGTCCCTCGGTGTGGGATGGGCACAGGTCACAGGGATAATGCCCAGGGCTGTGTCTGGTGCAAGGATCAGTGCTACCAAGCACCTGGCAAACAGCAGCCCCCTCCCCCTCAGCCCACCTGAACGGGGGGTCCCCTGGCTCCAGCACCCTCAAGAGATTGGCACCCACCACGGTGCACCCCAAGTGCCCTGGGGACCCCAACCTGCAGCATTGCAGAGACCCCCAGCCCAAGTAGGGGCACAGCCTGCTGGGTTCCCTGGTGCCTCAGCTTATCTGGAGCCATCTGGAGCTGCATCCCATCAGATTGGGGAGACAGAAACAGCTCTGGCAGGGATGCCTCTGGGAAGGGAGCACCTCAGCCTCCCATCCAAGCACCCTGCACTCCCTGCACCTCCTGCCCCTTAGGGGCGTCAGTCTGAGCCAAAGACCACACAGCACCCCCGGACGCGGGGCTGGGAGCTGGACAGAGGACAGAGAGCTGTGGGGACCCCGCTGGGTGCCAGCCCTGGCAGCTCGGGGTCCCGGCGTTTGGAGGTCAAGTCCCGGGTGCTGGCTGCAGCCGGCAGAGTCGCTGTGCGGGGAGGTGCGGTGCAGGGGGATGCGGTGCGGTGATGCGGCGCGATGAGGGGCTGGCGGCACGTTAGCATCTCTCACGGCCGTGTGAATGGGTCCGCACACACTTCCCAGCGCCGGCAGGGCCAATTAAGGACCAAAGGAGTCAGATCTGACACCTCTGCAAATGGGCCCGGTATTCCCAGGCTCCTGCCGCCCGCCCGGAGCGGGGGGAGGCTGGGGTGGTTCGACATCTCCAGATGGGCGCAGAGGTATCGTCCCGCACCCCCGGCCCAAATAAAGCCGGGGTTACCCCCAGAGGTGGCCAGCAGAACAGCTCCCAACCATGGCCAGACACAACACCACATCCCCAGCCCCTTCGGCAGCGTCCCCCGGTGCGTCGCTGCGTCCCCCTCGGGGCCGGCAGCGGGCGCGGGGCGGCGGGGGAGCGGGGGTGCCGCGGCARAGCGCCAGCGAGCGGGAGAAGCTGCGGATGCGGCGGCTGGCGCAGGCCCTGCTGCGGCTGCGGCACTACCTGCCGCCCGCGCTGGCGCCCGCCGGCCAGAGCCTCACCAAGATCGAGACCCTGCGCCTCGCCACCCGCTACATCGCCCACCTGTCCGCCCTGCTGGGGCTCGGCCGGGGGACAGCGGCCCCCCGACACTGTCCCCTGTGCCCCCGGGGCCTGGGCTGCTGCCAGGACGCGGAGCCCCGTGACGCTTCGCTCCCTGGCGCTGCGGGCTGGGGGTCACCACCCGTGGCGGGGACACCCCCGGAGCTGCACGGGGCTCCCGGCATGGGGACGGGGGCCTGGRGGTCACCTCTGTGCAGCCCTGCTGCGGGCACTCCCCCAGAGATGYTTGGGTGTCCGGAGATGGGGCTAGGGACCTGGGGGCCAGCCCCCTACATGCCTGTGACAGGGACCCTCCCAGATGTGGTTGGGGGTCCCGACATCAGTATGGAGACCTGGGGATCTCCGCCCCACATCCCTGCAACCAGRATCCCTCCAGACGTGCTTGGCGTTTCCAACATCGAGATGGAGACCTGGGGATCACCCCCCTACATCCCTGCAGTGGGRACCTCCTCGGAGCTGAGCAAGGCTGTCGTCTCCACCGCGTCCCCCTGGCTGACCCCTCCCCACTGTGCTGGGGCCCCTCCGGATCTCTCTGGTGACCCTCTCCTGGACATGGGGCCGGTGCTGTCGGAGTTCATGGGCACAGAGACAGTCACCCAGGTACGTGCTGATGCGGRTTGGGGTGACCCTGAGCAGTGGGCTGTCAAAGGGCAGGGATCAACCTCCCTTGGGGCAGCTTCAGAGTCTGGTTGATGTGGGGCAGTGTGGGAACTGGTTTTGGGGTAACAATAGCCTTGTCTGGGTTAGGGAATGGAGAGGTGAGCAGTGGGTGAGGTGGGTCCCCCAGCCTGCCCCATCCTTCCTGGTGCTTCCCTCCCTCGTGTTTGTGGGGATCCCATTGGTGGGGACAGAATRGTGTCCGTTGTCCTGCTTGTGCCTGGCCAGGAGCTCTTCCAGCGGGTGGACTGTCACCCCCATGACCCCAGCCCTGCCTGGACCTCTGTCTGACTGCTTACTCTCTGACCGTCTCTCCCCAGGACCTCTCTGCAGATCTGCTCTCACTTCTGGAGGCTCTCCTCCCACCACAGCCCCGGCACTGACCCGGATGAGTCCCTGGAGCACTCACTGCCGCACTGTGCCTGTCTGGACACCTGCAGCCTGGGGACATGTGCTGCCCTTGGGATGGCTGCAGGGACAAGCTGCCCCGCTGGAGCCTGGAGCCGTGCTGGACGCGGTGGGGAATGGATGTGAATAAACCCTTGTGCCCTCTCCACGTGTCATTCTGGCTGTTCCCAGGAGCGGGGAATGGGATGGGGTTTGGCATGCCCAGGGGTCCAGCATGAATGGGGTCCTGTGTGCCCCACAGGGTGTCCTTGCTGGGATGCAGCGCTGGGGGCTGTGGGGCAGCCAGGCACCATCGGGGAGAGCAACTTGGGGGGGGTATCATGAGAGATACTCCCCTTGCCCCAGGGGTAGTGGGGTAATACTCCCCTTGCCCCACGCTGGCTAGTGTGGGGTGAGGATCCTCAGCMCCTTCCAGATGCAGCCCTGTCACTGGGCAGTCCTGGGAGGACAGTGGGAGCTCCCCAGTGCAGAGGAAAATGGGTGGATTTGGGGTCCAGCTCCGTGTGGAGCTCTCCAGCTGAAGACCCTGCCAGAAGCAGAGTRTAGGGGCCTGTGATGGGGACCCTCTGTCCCCAGCCCCCTTGRTGGCTCCCCGAAGTCTGGGGTCCCCATTAGCAGGAGGGTGTCAGGACCTGGCAGCCATGTGCTAACGAGTCAAGGGAATATCTCCCCAACTTTGGGGTCTCGAGTGAAGGGCAGGGAGTTAATGAAGCCCATGGAGTGTGAAAGGACTCTCTAATGAGGTTAATTCCCTCTGTGGGGGTGGAGGTGGGGGGTGACAGAAGGGGACACAAGCCTTTGAGGTGTAAAGCAGCCCCCTCCCCTCCCCTGGGCTGCAACCCCCACTCTCCAGCCAGGCTGAAGCTATCTGGGCATGTGCTCCAGCCATGGGGACACTGTCACGGGGATCACCACAGTCTGGGGGAGCAGCTGGYGGGCACAGGGCTGGGAGGAGAGACTTGTGGGTCTCTGGGCCCCCCAAATGCTGCACCTCAATACCAGAAGYGCTTGTGTGCCCTGATACCTGGCCCTGGCAGCAGCAGTGCCAAGCCTGGGGGGCACTGGCAGCATCCCCCACAGGCTGGGGMCTGAAGCAGGGCTCTCTCCTGGGCTGGAGGGCTCCCTCCCACACACGTGGGGCACAATCCCATTGTCCATTCCCGCGTGTCATCTCCACACACTCTTACGTGCGTGTCCATGTGCTGTGGGTGGCASAGGAGGGACCGTGCTGTTCCAAGCCGCTGCTTCCAAGGACCCTTCAGAGCTGCCAAGGGCGCCCACGCCACAGCATCTGCGGCAGCAGCTGCAGGGGCTGGTGCTCGGCAGTACCTGCCTGATACCTGCCCTGCTCCCCACCCCGCTCCACTCGCACCCCAGAGCAGATGCAGGAGCCCTCGGCACAGAGCCTTGGCAGTGTGTGAGCATCGGCCCTGCCATGGCCTGGCTGGGGAATGCTGGGCAGGACACCCCGGATGGAGGTGAGSTGTGGGGAGTGGGGTGTGTGGCACTCGGGGTGTCTCTGTTGGGCTTGGGGGGTCACCATACCAGGCAAGATCATAATGGATGCTCTGGGCAGGGAGRGGGCACAGCAGTGATGGCCTGAGGTGGGTGGCTGTTGGGGTCAGCTGCCATCATCTTCCTCTGCCCTGCTTGGTGCCAGGGACCTCCATGGCTCTGGGGAGCTGGAGGGGCTCTGGGGGTTGTGGGAGGCTCTGGGGGAGCAGCCAGATGCAGTGAGCAGCCAAGGATGGAACTCACGGAACTGGGCTGAGGAATGTGGTGCTGGCACTGCAGCCCTGGCCAGGGAGAAGGCTCTAGGGGACAGGACCCACAACACTGTGTGTGGCCTGCCTCCTCTGCAAGCCCCCACCTCAGGGCTGCTGTTCCCCTTTGCCTATTGTGGCAGGTAGGGGCCATGCAGATGCACGCCCTGCAGCGGGAAATGCCAGCGTGGAGCCCCCCAGCATCGCCCCCCCGGAGTGGGGCTGCGCCTGGAGCCCCCTGGACGAGAACGGCGGGGAGCCCCTGCGGCTGCCCATCTTCTCCCCCGCCGCCCAGGTGCGCGTGGCCGTCACCTTCACCCTCTTTGCCCTGTCGGCCGGCTGCAACCTGGCGGTGCTGTGGGCGGTGGGGGGCCGGGGCAGYGGCCGGCGCCCCCACATCCGCCTGCTGCTGCGGCACCTGGCCGCCGCGGACCTGCTGGTCACCGTGGTGGTGATGCCGCTGGACGCCGTCTGGAACATCACGCTGCAGTGGCGGGCGGGCGACCTGGCCTGCCGCCTGCTCATGTACCTGCGGCTGCTGGCCATGTACGCCTCCGCCTTTGTCACCGTGGTCATCAGCCTGGACCGGCAGGCCGCCATCCTGCGCCCGCTGGCCATCGCCCGCGCTCACGCCCGCAACCGCGCCATGCTGCACGTGGCCTGGATCCTCAGCGCGGGGCTGGCGGTGCCACAGGTACCGACCCCGGTGGCCCCTCCAGCCCCAGCCCATGACAGAATCCCACCCAACCCTTGTGCCGGCTCCCCGGGGTCTGGTGACACTGTCTGGGCTCACTGCCAGGGCTGCTGCCACTGTGTGACMTGCAGGGTGAGGATGAGAGGGGCTGGAGAGCTCTGTGGGATGGGGAAGGAGAGGTGACAATAGGGCGGCTGCAGCAGTGATCCTCTCCCCCAGGCCCCTGTCAGACGGGAGCAGAGCCAGTCCCGGGGTGATCTGTCCCTGTGGGTCTGGGGGTCCCTGCCTTRGCTTCCGATGCCCTCCCTGCCTCAGGAGGCACAAACCCCCAYCAGCACCACCCCACCTCTCTCTTCTCCAGCTGTTCCTGTTCCACACCATCACCCTGCGCCCCCCGCACAACTTCACCCAGTGCACCACACGCGGCAGCTTCCCCCAGCCCTGGCACGAGACCCTCTACAACATGGTGGGCTTTGTCTGCCTCTTCCTGCTGCCRCTGCTCATCATGGTCTGCTGCTACGCCCGCATCCTGCTGGAGATCTCCCGCCGCATGGGCTCCGGCCTCTGTGAGTGCCAGGCACCATGGGACACAGCCCCACGCCCAGGGACCCCCCAGCTCTCCCCCAGGCTATGGGGTCCCCGTCCCAGCCCCATTTTCCCCTCATGGGCTGTGCCCCTCCAGTCTCCTCGCAGGACGCATCGCTGCGGTGCTCCAGGAACAACATCCCACGGGCCCGGCTGCGGATGCTGCGGATGAGCCTGGTCATCGTCTCCTCCTTCATCCTCTGCTGGACCCCCTACTACCTGCTGGGGCTCTGGCACTGGTTCTGTCCCCGTGCCATGGAGAAGAGGGTCTCACCRGCCCTCACCCACATCCTCTTCATCTTTGGTCTCTTCAACGCGTGCCTGGACCCCATCACCTATGGGCTCTTCACCATCCCCCTCCGGGGGGGCTGGGGTTGCCCTTGTAGGCACAGGCCCCTGGTCCAGCCCCCCTCCCCAGCCACCGGCTCCTTCCGCTGCTCAGCCTCCTCCCTGCCACCCAAGTGGGGAGTCCAGGGGATGCGGAGGTCCCCAGGGGCTGCCAGCGATGCCTCCTGTCACAGCAGCTCCCTGTGAGACTGGCACGACTGCCAGGGTGCTCAGGGCAGGGTGGTCCGGCAGCAGGATGACCAGGTCAGCACAGGTCCACCAGGGATGGAGTCACTGCCCATCTCTTTCCCCACCCTGAAGTGCCACTGTGAGCTTGGGGCTGGTGGAGGTGCCCCTGTTCCCTCTCCCTTCTCTGTGCCCTGCACAGCAATAAACTGTCCTATGGCCACCACCTCTTGTCCCTCCTGTGTTCCCCAGCTGGGAGCTGAGCTGGCAATCCCAGAGACAGCACCCCGACCCACTGGGCTCACAGCTGCTCCTGTCCCTGTCCCCACCAAGGGTGGCTCAAAGGTCCCCAGGAAGGGGCAGATCCAAGGCCATCCACATCCTGGTCAGGCTGGACGCTTTCCTTCCTTTCCATCCCCACAGGCTCCGGGTGCCAGTGTGCGCAGGGCTGGTCCCTGCCAGCCAACACCRGGCTGGTGGCAGTCCCAGGGTGCTGCTGATGTCGGCTCTGCTCCAAACAGGAGCTCCTGGCTCCTGCCCAAGGCTGTTGGGAGGCACACGGGGCCAGTCCCCCCGCCCGCGGCAGCTGCCCCAAGGCCAGCGCTGACGGCACGGCTGCTGKGGCCTGGAGAGGTGGGAGGCTGTGTTTGCCTGGGCTCCTCACTCCCCCCAGCACCAGAGTGATGCCAATGTCGAGGCATTCCCACGAGCCTTGGAGAAAGGACACAGAGCTGGGCTCTGCCTGGGGCTCCCCACTCTGCTGTGGGTGGTTGCTGGGCTCCCTTGGCTCATCAGTCCCCCCTGCCCAGTGGGAACCCATCACAACCCACTGACAGCGTGGCCTCATGCTCGGGCACAGACAGGGCTGCTGCTCCTGCTGAGGGATCTCTCTGGCTCCAGCGTCTGCTCCTGTGCCTCAGCAGGGCAAGGCAGGAGAGCAGGCAGAAGCTGTGCCCAATAACAGCAGTGCCAGCCGTGCTTGCAGGGATTTATTTGAAAGTGGCCAAGTCTGGAGTWGCTTCAGCTCTGAAAAATAATGTCACATTTACTTGAGGGCTGGAGGGCCAGAACACCAGGCACTCCAGGGGTCTTGCACAGGGGGGTCACCCCAGGGTCTTTGTGGGGGTCTCTCTGGGGGGCTCCAGGGGATGAGGGGCTGCAGTCCCAGGTGCATGGGGGTCCTCTGTGCTCGCATGGGGATGGAGCTTCCTTGGCATGTGTCTGCAGGGTTGGGGGGATGTGGGGGGGCTGAGTCTCAGGCATGGMCTCATGTGAGTATGAAAATACCACCTGGTACTGGCACACCATTTGCTGCCAGCCTGAGAAATGCTGGCAGGGGAGGAGCGGTAGAGCCACAGGACCACCTAGCAAAAACATTGCCCTAGCTGGACGCTGTTRCTGCTGTGGCTCTGCTGCTGGGAACACCCTAGGATAACTGGGGTGCAGACAGAGACYCCCCAGCCCACAGGCAGCTCTCCTCAGGCTGATGGCACCAGGTGGGTGCCAGGCTGGCCAGCGCTGCCCCATCCCCTCGGTGGCTGCACAGGGCTCTGAGGGGCAGCGCGTGGCCATCACAGTCATGCCGGGCTCTGAGGGTGCCCCAGTGTCGATGCGGGTCCAGGGTACCCATCTGCTCCCCAGTGGAGCCAGAGAAGAGGGACAGGGTGGCCAGCTGAGGGGACAGGGTGGCAGGTYGAGTGATGGCACGTGGGAGGTGATGCTGGGGGATGCCTGTACTTGGGTGACCATGTCCACCTGGGTCAGCAATGTCCCATCACCCCCGCCTGCCCACGGCACAGACAGGAGGCAAAGCGTGACCCCAGGGCCACAGCTGTCCCACTCCCTGCTCCACTTGGACGCACACATGCTGGCTCTAGGTGCCAGCTCCACCACTGCTGGGTCTCTTCTCAGTGAAGAAGCTCTTGAGCAGCATCACCTGCCCGATGCTGACCACGAAGAGGATCAGRGTTTCCCCCACTGACCAGTATGAGACACGGCCATTGAGCTCCTCGGCTCTGCTCCGGTCCTGCGCCTCCCGCAGCCGGTAGTGGGTCTGGGAGTCGATCACCGCGTTCAGCATCTCGTGGATGGTGACACAGGCCGATTCCATCTGGAGGACAAGCACACCTCGTCACTTCTGATGTGGCACAGCCGAGGGAGCCCAGGACTGTGCCAGGGCACCCAAGAGCAGGGCAGCAGTGCCTGTGTCCACCATCCAGGGTGGTTCCGCTCTGGGACCGAGCTGAGAGCTGCACCAGGGCACCAGGATGCCCAACCCATAGGCTCGCACTGAGGGATGAATGGCTGATGCAATTCCCTCACAYGGGATGGACATGGGCTGTTGCAGAYGGGGGAGCCMATACCCAGCACAGCCCTCCCATCCAAGGCAGAGGATGTGGTGTGTGGTGAGGCCGTTGGCTGGCGGTTGGCACTTCTGCATCCAGCAGAGGATGGGGGGATGAGCACCCAGCTGCCATCCTGTGAGGCTGCTTGGGGGCTGCAGCAGGACCCTGCCACCCTCCCTCCCTCCTTTCCTCCTGGGACCCACCTGTGTCAGGGCGGTGACGCGGTTGTTCATGTCAGGCAGGATGGGYGGCTCATCGCCCACCTGGAAGTCGAAGTAGACAATTTTGTGGGAGAAGGTGGAGAACTCATTGCTGAAGCAGAAGGTGTAGACACCCTTGACCTCGGTATGGTGTGAGAAGCTGTCATACTGCTTCTTGGTCTCCTGGTAGATGGTCTTGCCGTTGGGGTCCTCCACATAGCAGTCCACGTCATAGTGTCCTCCGCTGATCACCTGCACAGGGAGATGTATTTCAGATGGTGGCACCTGCCAAGCGACGTGGCAAGGGGCCCCTGACCCTGCCCAGCCCCAYGGCTGTGTGAGAGGCCAGCGGGCACCATGCCCATGGGATGGGGCCCAGGCCAGGGGAAGGTGTGCACCACGGTGACAGCAACTCAGGTGGGGTGCCTGCAGCTCAGGTGGAGTGCCTGGAGACAGGGATAGCTCTCATGGCCAGSTCAGGTGCTCCCATGGCTGCTGTGGGCACATCCCAGACCTGGGTCTCAGGTTGGCACTGCTGGGCATGGGGCTGGGGTTGGGAACGACTCCTAGTGTAGCTTGGAGGGAACAGGAGTGCGCATGGGGGGAGGGAACTGCAGCCCTGCTTGAGGCTCTGCAGGGCKCAGAGATGGGAATGTGGGCAGGAGCAGGGGCAGAGGCAATAGGCACCCATATGGGCAGGGGTGTGGGCTAGGGGGCACGGGCATGGGGGCACAGGCAGGTACATGGGCACGGACAAGACATGGGCAGGGGCACACGGATGGGGCATAAATGGGGTGCAGACAGGGCCCAGGCAGGGGGTGTAGGCAGGGAGCATGCAGGGCTGCAGGCAGGGTAGTACCTGGTAGTCGAGAGTGAACTTGATGCCACTCTCCAGCTCCTGGTGGAAGCAGCGCTGGGCGCTATCGGGCAGCTCCAGCGTCAGCTCCGTCCCGCCGGCCCCCAGCGCGCCCAGCAGCGCGGCCAGGCACAGTGTCCGCACCGCGCCACGCACCGCGCCCGGCATCGCGACACGCACCGCGACACGCACCGCCCCCGGCACGGCCACCGGCACCGCCACCGGCACCGCTCCCGTCCCGCCCCCCTGACGTGGCGCTTCCGCTGCGGGCGGGGCGGGGCGGGGCTGCGGCGGCACCTCCGGCACCTCCCGGGGCGGGAACCCACGGCTATCCCAGGAACCTTCCCCGGCGCCCCCGGCACCCTGGGAACCCCCCCAGCATCCCCGGGCCGAGCGCTACGGGAACCCCGGTATCCCCTCGGCACTCCGGGGGACTCCCCGAACCGGGCGGCGAGATCAGCCTCCTTCCAAAACTGAGCGTTTTATTAACGCAGCGATCGTGGAAAAGTCTCCACAGGGCCACGGCGTCACCCCAACACCTGCCCCTGCACCCCTACACACGCGCAGTCTCGTAAATAAACACATTAATGGAATCATGGAATCTGTCGGTGCACGGCACACGGTGYGTGGGGGACGCGTGGGGTTGGGAGGGCGGGGTAGCAGAGCGGGGTTTTGGTTGGGGCGCGGTGCCTGCGACTTTGGCCGTGGTCAGCCCGTGCCACCCTTGGTGACTTGGCATCCTGGGTCCCCCGCCGCTGGCAGAGGCTTCCCACGCAGCCAGGCTGGGACCGTCCTGCCCGGGATTCAGCGTTCCCTGAATTCAGAGCTCCTCGGCGTGGCGGGGAATGAACCCCCTGAAGTTGGGGCGCTTCAGAGACGAGACAAGCCCATTCCGGCCACAGCGGCGAGGCTGCAGCGGTGCCGGGTGAGCTCAGCCGCCGGATCTCCGGAGCGCTCGGCTATTTCGGAAGTGGAGGATTGTCTCCCTCTCCCGTTCCAGGAGAGCACCGACACGGTCCGTGGGTGGAGGCGTATTCTCGCTCCTCCAGCCCGGCAGTACTGAGCCCCTTCCCCTCCTGGAAGGCACTTCATGAACGCCTCAGGGGCTCCGTGAAGGGTTTCGGTGAGAGAACGAGGGGGATGGAAAAAAACGGATTGTAACTAGTGAGGAATAAGTGAACTGCTGATGGAATCCTTGGCASGGAGCTCGTTGAACTAGGATGGTCTGGGATCAATCTCCCAAGTGGTCACTCCTGATTCAGCCTCTGGGCACGAGGCTTACCCCCCCGGCCACCAGCGTGTCTCCAGAGCCAGTGCCTGCTCCATGTGGGAACTGTCCCGTTTCTACAGGGACAGCACAGCTTTGGCCATCTCCCTGTGAACAAATTATGACAGAGTTACTGTGCCACAACCTCCTCAAAATCGGAGAGGTGCCGCATCTGCTCTGCCTGCATGGAATGTCTGCGGAGGAGCTTCCTGTGAGCTCTCAGGTCACCCCGCCTGGGTGAGCTGGGTGCGAGGGGCGCCAGGGGCTTCAGCCCAGCAGCCAACGGGGAGGGSCCTTTGCTGGAGCCAATGTCAGGAATTGGGGGGTTGGGGTTCACGTTCAGGGGRGGCAGATACCCCGGCCTTGTGTGGGAGATGTGGTCCAGCAGGAGGGTCCCGGATCCTCGCCTCTCCAGCAAGCTGGGCGGCCGGCGCCGGCCAGTGCTGGGCGATGTGCTGGCGCTGCTGGAAGGAGACTCACCACAACCATCCAACAAGGCCAGGTGGGACCCGCTCAGCTTCCTCCTCTCTGATGGCCCCTTCCCTGCCTCKGTGACCTGGGAATCTCCACTGTGTTCAGTGCCTGACCTCCACCAGTGTGGGGCGTCCATCCCTGCAGCTGAGCTGGCTCCCGAGCTGCTGCTCTCTGGCTCCTCTGGGACTGTGATGCTGCGGGACAGGCGTGGGTGGGTGCCTGGGCTCTTCTCTTTCCATGCCAGCGGACCCAGTGCCTGCTCATCCACTGGGGGGAAGAGAGAGGGGTCTCTGCCCTTGCTGCTGCTGCTCCGGGTGAGGGAGGGCTTTTTGGAGAGTGACAGGTCGCTGATGCCCGTGATGACCTCGTGGTCAGTGCAGACTTGTGTGTCGTCTCGGTGCGCGGAGGCTGCCAGTACTGAGGGTGCCACCAGACCCCATGGCTCTGAGCGCAGTCTCTTCAGCCGGGGCAGGTGRGCTCTGCGGGCAGTGCCAGCTCTCTGGCCTGGGGAGGGTGGCTCAGTGTCCCCGGTATTCCCGGGCTGTGAAGGGTGTGGGGTGAGAATGCTGCTCTCCTTCTCAGCAGGGGAAGGTGCTGAGATGGGAGTTTTCAGGTGAGCACTGGAGGGGGCTGTGCCCTCATCGAGGGGAGCCCTCTCCTTGAACTCCAGGGCAGGGGCAACGTTCAGATACTGCTTGGCAGTCTTGGTGCCAGAGGCTGATGTGTCCATTGTGATGATGATCACCTCCTTCCCCTTGGCTCTGCAGGCATTCAGAAGGTGCTGCAGCACAGCCTTGTCCTCGGCATTGATGGCATGGACCAGCGCTGAGGCTCCCGAGTGATCTTCCAGGCTGGGGTCTGCCCCACTCTCCAGCAGCAGGGACACCACRTCYCCTCCAGCCCCGCGGATACAGGCRTGCATGAGGGCTGTTTTCCCAGAYTTGTCCTGGATGTTGGGGTCGGCTCTGTTGTCCAGCAGGTACTTCACCATCTTGGCCTTGTGGATGCTCTGCTGGTCAACGTGCGTGGTGATGCAGGCCACCATCAGGGCGGTCTCCCCCTTCTCATTGCTCTCGTTGATGTAAGCCCCCCCTTCCAGCAGCAGCCGGGTCAGCCGGAGCCGGCCAAGCCACACGGCCTTCAGGAGGGAGTTGCTCCCCAGCTCCAGCTCTGTCACCTCATCCATGGCACTGCTGCTGTTCCCTGCTGGGTGCTGGCAGTRGTGGCTGGCGGCTGTGGAGGAAGCCATGGAGAAGAGGTGAGCCCCRCTCCTTTGTCCCTGCCTTCCTGGGATGCCACGTTCTGAGCACTGCCCCACGTACCACTCTCCCTCTACGTCCACCCACCTTGTGCACACAGTTGCCCAAATGCCTCGGTTTCCCCAAGAGATCAGAGAGCTGATGGTCTCCACTGGCCTGCTATGTCTGGGGGRCCACAACATGAAACCCACTGCAGACTGTGTGCGCTTCCCCCATGGCTTCCAGGGCTGGAGCCGTGATCTCTGTTTCCTCACTGCTGGACAGAAGGAGAAACAGCCACAGTCGTGCTGTCTGTTGTGTTTCTACTGCTCCCTGCTTCCACCGCCCCACTGAACCCCACTCCCTGCTCCCACTGCCACTCACTCCTGCTGCCCCCCACTCCCTGTCTCACTCCTCAGAGTGTTCCTGGRGCCCTGAGCAGCCAGCGCCCCCAGAGTGCCCCGGGAGCAGGCACAAGCCTCCCGGCCCTTCCCCACCCGCCGGTGCCCTCCGTGGG